TAGGTCCATTTGGTTCAAAGTATAGTTTAAAACCAATATTTCTTGGTTGATTTTTCTGTCTGGCTAATCCATCCATTGCTGAATGTGGGAGATCAAAGTTCCCTATTATTATTGTATTGATATCTATTTCTCCCTTCAAATCTCTTAATATTTTTATTTATTTTGAGAGAGAGAGAGAAAGAGAGCACACACACTTGCATGACCAGGAGAGGGGCAGAGAGAAAGAGGGAGGGAGAGAATCCCAAGCAGGCTCCATACAGTATGGGTCTGCCTAATTTTGAATTAGTGGGATGAACCGACTGAAATTTCTGCATTAGAAGGACCTAAGTGTTATGGAAAAGAGGACACAGAACTTTCAGAGACACTCCCCACCCTACTCCCCCAGAACATCCTGCTCTTATGGTGGGGAACTTCCTCTGGATAAAAGAAAAAAATGCCCGAGTCTCTACTCTTGCACACACACCATCTTTGAATCTATCCTTCATACCAGCAACAAAGTGAATTTATTGAAAAGTTTAATATTGCCATTCTGCAGATCAAAATTTTACACTATTGGCATAAAACCTAAATTTTTTATCAGGGCTTTAAAATGCCTCCATAATCTGGTCCTGCCTATTTCTTCTCTAGCCTCAAACCTCACTTACACACAGTATGGAGCCCAACATGGAGCCCAATCCCATGAACCCTGAGACCATGACCTGAGCTGAAATAAAAAATAAGATGCTCAATTGACTGGGCCACCCTGGCACCCCCACATCTGTTAATACTTTAAAAAATCTATTTAGATGCTCCAGTATGGGTACATTTATGTTAATGGTTATTCTGTTTTCTTTTTTTCATATTTATTTACATTTGGGGAGGTCAAGGGGAGGGGCAGAGAGCAAGAGGGAGACAGAATCTGAAGCAGGCTCCAGGCTCTAAACTGTCATACAGAGCCTGACATAGGGCTCAAACTCACAAACCGTGAGATCATAACCTGAGCTGAAGTCAGATGCTTAACTGACTGAGCCACCTAGGTGCCCCAGATTAAATTTTATTAATGGATTGACACTTCTGTCATTTTGTCATAACCTTCTTTGTCTCTCATTACAGTTTTTAACTTAAAGTCTATTTTGTCTACTCTTAACTGACTGAGCCACCCAGGTGCCCCAGATTATTATATTTTATTAATGAATTGACACTTTTGTCATTTTGTCATAACCTTCTTTGTCTCTCATTACAGTTCTTGACTTAAAGTCTATTTTGTCTACTCTAGGTATAGCTACATTTGCTCTCTCTTGGTTTCCATTTGCATGGAATATCATTTTCCATCTCTTCACTTTTAGTCTATGTAGTCCCTGTAGCTGATGTGAGGCTCTTGTGGGCAGCATATAGTTGCATTTTGTTGTTTTGTTTTTTGTTTTAAATCCACTTAGCCACTCTATGCCTTTTGATTGGAGAATTTAATACATTTATATTTAAATGAACAGGTATGAAGGACTTGATAAGTAAAGGCTTACTGATACCATCTTAGATTTTTCTGGCTGTTACTTTGTTTCTTTGTTCCTTTCTTCCTCTCTTGCTGTCTTCCTTTGTAAATGGATGAATTTCCATAGTGGTATGCTTTTATTTCCTTCTTTCTATCTTTGGAGTATCTGCTGTAGGTTTTTGCTTTGTGGTTACCATGAGTTTCACATGAAACATAATAGATTATTTTAAGTTGATAATTTAAATAGCATGTAAAGACTCTACACTTTTACCACTCCCTCATTTTGTTTTTGATATCCCAATTTTTTAATGTGAATCCATTAACAAATTATTGCAGCCATACTATTTTTAATACTTTTGTCCTTTAACCTTTTTATTAGGGATGATTAATACACAACTACATTACAGTATTTGACTATTCTGAATTTAACTATCTACTTATCTTTATAAGTGTTTTATATTTTCATATGTTTCTGTGTTACCAATTAACATCCTTTCACATTCACATTTCAATTTGAAGAACTCCTTTTGACTATTTTGTTTTTCCTTTAAGGCAGATCTAGTGATGAACTCCTTCAGCATTTATTTGTTTGGGAAAGTCTTTAACTTGCCTTATTTCTCAAGTACAGGTTGTCAATTCATGGAAATAATGTGATATCTACCTGGCATCTGTTTTATGGGATAGAAATGTCTGCAATCAAATTTCTGATGTGATAAACAGAATCACTGATAGAATCAATAAAGTGGACTGATACTAAGGAAAGAGGTTTTGTAAATGTTAAGAAACAAAGGAATGAATTTACTACTCACTTAGTATATCTGCATCTGTTAGTAAACCTAAAGCCTAACTTGATGGATAGCCAAGTTACCCTTGACATTAACTCTTTTTTATTTAAAGATTTAGTGCTTCTTTCTCCACTAAAAGGGTTACACTAGCATTCAAACTTCCTATCATATGAGAAGCACCTGTGTCAAAATTACCATAGAGAAGAAGAGAAGGTTGGATACAACCTTGATCAAAACAGTCAAGAGTATGTGATAAAGACTTAACAGAATAGGAAAGAACTTAATACTGATTAAACACAAATTCCCCTCTAATAGACGCCAATCCTGGATATGATCATTACAAATCCTACTAAAAACCAAGTAACTTTTGCTCATTTTGAAAACTGTTTAAAAAGTGTTAACTACTGCAGAAAACAAACAAATACATATGTAGGTAATCAAATCAAGCAAGGACGTTGAAAATATAACTGAAACTTAAGTCACAATAACTCACATCAACTTGCTATATAATTATTTAAGGACTATTTTTATATCCTGTGAAAGATTATAATTATGTAATTACAGCTCAAAATATTCCATACCTGGAATGTGGAAGCTTCTGACTCTTGGATCAATTTCACTTAGCTCATTTAGAAAATGCAAAGATATTACTATTTATATCCAAAGTTGTGGAAACTTAGCAAGGCTTTAAAAGTCTTCAGGATCAATGGCCAATCAAAATCCCCATAGAAGAGTGTTATGTTACGAAGGCAAATATTTGCAGTCTCTTTCCACTGAAAGTTTTTTTTTCTGTCTGTACTTTGTGTGGGATTGTAGTAGAGTGTTTGTTTCTACAGGTGGGACTGCATGCATAGCCATGAAGTAGTCTACTCTTCATCTCTAACTTTCTGGACTCTTCCTCTCTACCCTTGTTCCACTTTTAATTCTATATTAGGTCTTTATATGTGCTGCAACTTCTTATTTGTGTTTATTGAATAGAATTTTGATATTTCATGTTCTTAATGTAAAAAAGCTGATAAGTGAAACATGTGGATATGTAGTATATTAAATGCTTTATTTGAATGTATTAATTTGAGATATTAATATTAAATAATTTTTAATGTTTGTTTACTTTTGAAAGAGACAGAGACAGAGAATGAGTGGGGGAGAGACAGAGAGAGAGGGAGACAGAATTCAAAGCAGGCTCCAGGCTCTGAGCTGTTAGCACAGAGCCCGACATAGGGCTCAAACCCACAAACCATGAGATCATGACCTGAGCCGAAGTTGGATGCATTAGCAACTGAGCCACCCAGGCACCCCATAAATATTTTAAAGTTATAGTTTGGAGTGGTTTTAGGTTAGAATGTAAAAGAAATAACTTTCCTCTCTTTGTATTTTTTAATTTATTAGAAGAATGTAAATGCAAAAATGAAAAGAAAGAGCAAAATAATTTGGGAGAAATCTAAACCTGTTGTTAGTTATCACTTTTATGCCAATTGGCCAAAGCGCCAATTTCCAGCTTCAACTATGGCTGCTAACTAGGTAGTTTTTTTTTTTCCCCTGTTGATGGAAGAAAACTGAACCTTGGGCTCTATGAATTTGAGAAAAAACAAAGCATGGCATTAGAAATAGAACCCGCCTACAAGTTCATCCATCTCTCTTAAAGTACTAGGCAGCAATGCCAAGGTCATATCAATATTACACTTGTTTCAGCCATGGTACATGAACAGCAAACTGATAAGTACTGAACATATTATTGGAAAGGATGAGAACCTACTCCTCTTCGCAAAGTGTATGGGGATTCCCCGGCTCCCCATTTCCCCACCCCAAATAGTGTTTGGGGGAGATGCTAATAATGCCAGGCGAATTAGCCAAAATTCTGGCAGCATATCGGAAGAGAAACCCAAACTCGGATGGTAAATCTTTAAATGATCCAGCACTGACTAGATAGGATTAATCTTCAAAAGAATCATTCACTAGCTATTTTCTCCCATGGCAGATCTACTCTTAAATCTCGCCTTTCTCAGCAGCAGACACAGCAATGGAAGAGCCGGCTCTGTAGAACCAACAGCATTGGTGTGCAAACCATTTATTGAGTGAGGTGACAGACTGGTTGGCTGGCTTCTTGGCCTATCCTATCGATTTTCTGGGAGTCAAGGAAGGGATGGGAGGAAATTCTTAAAATATAAAGGGAAATTTTAGAACAATGTTTTTAGGCTCCGATTGAGCTGGTCCTGCTAACACATTGCATGATATATAAACACATGAATTTATGTTTGCTCATTAAACCCTATATGCTGTGTGATGCGAAATCCCAGCTTCTAGTTTCTCTTCTCTTAAATCCAACTCCAACACTTGCAGCCAGGACACTCTTATATCCACAGATCTAATTGTTGCTTTTCCTCAATTTTAAAAACACCCCTTGTTCACAGCAGCAGCTTCCTGTTGATAATGAGAATAAGCTGTGAAACCTTTTTCAAAATGCAAATTTCCCAACAGTATCCCCTAGTGCCTAATTCCAGGGTTGTGGGGTAGGGCTCAGGAGGCTACATTTTTGATTATGAGCCATGTTTGAGATTTGCTTCTCTGTAGTTCTTCCAGGTGCTTCTGCATATTTAACTCATGGGAATCGCACATTAACTTCTAAAATAAGGCCATGCATAAGACTAGTTCTGGCAAATACTGAGCAGAAGTGACGTAGGTGTTTTATACTCACATGTTTAAAGAACAGCCTCTATCTAAAATATAGGAAATGTTTTGCACTCCAGATGCCTCTGCCCTGCCTCAGCAACCAAGGATACTACCTGCTTCGATGACACAGCTCCTAGATGGTGACGCCACCTGCAACCCCCTGGATCCCTGAGGAACTCTGTGGATCAGAACTCTTCCTCCCTAACTTCAGCCTGAACTGGACATGTAATATGGGCAAGAAATAGATCAAGAAATAGACACTTATTACAGCAAGCCACCCAGGTCTGGGAGTTCATTTGGTACTGTAGCATAAGCTTAGCCTACCTTGACTGATACAAGGGTATTGCAAAGGCTTACTTTACATTTATTTTGATCACATATGCCAAATTAATATAGGTTCCCTCCCTCATCTAAAAGTAGAGCATTCCTATGAAAACTTTCATAAGCCTAAATGCTGTAAAGGAAAAAAAAAACCCAATTACCATTAATTTATATGGGAAAATTTTTGAGTATTCTCAGAATAATAAAAAATATAACCTCTCTGGCTTTGCTGATAAAGCATAGATGCTCATAGACACAGTTCAAAGCTACGGTGGCTTGATGCTGAGATGCTGAGGGGTGGGGGGGCTTCACGCTGCCTCTGTAAAGACTCACTGCAAAACAAATGCTGAATGCTGTTTTCACCTGTGCCTTTTGTCCATTACAGTACAAACCCTCTTTGGATTTCTTTTGGTTATTGAAAACAAGTATTAATTAATGTAGGTAGGTCTCGGGTAAAGGTGAAGTGGTATAACCTGAACTTTTACAAAGTAGGGGATACCTGTATATTGAAGATTAGCTGATTTATGCCTCTCATGTCATTTTCATATTCTGGTAAGTATTCTGAGGTTGCAAGACTATTAGCTTCTTTATCATTTCAAGTATGTATATGAATAAGGTTTTTCTCGACATTACACAACCAAAAGCAAACAACCAAAACACAATAAGTAGAATGCTGAGTCTCTGATACTAAAAAAGAATCCATCCATCATCTGTCATTCCCAGTGTAAAATTGTAGTTTCATCCACAGATTAATTCTCTCAAGACATGTCTTTATAATCAGAAAATATTATAAATTTGAACTTGTAAAATATGTGTGTGCTCACAAAGTGCCATTTTTATGTTTTATATACTGGTCTTATATAAAACTTTATTAGAGAAAGCTTGAAAAGAATTGCTTTAGAACTACAAAGGATACATCTCAATTCTCTTGCACACGGATGCCCTAACGTATTAATAGCAACCCTATTAGACCTGAGAGAGGCCTTGGAATTTATCTAGTTGAGCCTTTTATTTTTATTGATTTGTTAGCCATGGCCCGGATTCATCAGGTGAGTCTCAGGGTCCTACACTTGGACCAGAACACAGCCAGAACAACACAGGGCTTTCCTACAGAGAATGCTGCCACATAAAGCGCTCTATCTTTGGGATGAGCAATTATTTGTGACTCTCTCAATTTACCCAAATATTTGTTGAAGTGGCACGATGTCCCAGAAAGTGATTTTCAGATGTGAAAGCTAGGGCAAACTACTGATTTATTTTTGAGTTTTAGCTTTCTTATCTGTAAAATAAGAGCAAATAATGCCTTATAGCTCTACTGTTATTAGAAAGGATATGTACAGTGTTAGACCCACTGTTCTTTGGCCTTAAATGAATTTAGATTGATTACCTTCAGATATCAGCCTATACTTCTAGATCAGGGTTCAGCAAAGTATGGTCTATGGATCAAATCTGGCATAGCACCTGTTTTTATAAATTTAGTTTTATTGGAACATAGCCACAACGGTTCACTTATGTATTGTCTATGCTGCTCTGGGGACTATAACAGGAGAGATGACTTGTTGTGACAGAGACCTTATAGCCCAAAAGCCTAAAAAATATTTACTCCCTTGCTATGTTCTGAAAAATTCTGCTGATCTGTGTTTCAGATTGCTGAGATCATTTTGAAACTACTCTTGATTCTTTTATTGACAATATCATTCAATATCTCTTTCACTAAGTCAGCCTCAGACTGGTTTCCATTCAAGCTGTTCATAAAAATGTTTAATGAGACACGGGGAAAGAGAGGCCCAGGCACACCACAAGAGACTGCCCTCATGGCTGACGATTGCCACTTACTGGACACAGTTACCTGAAGAAGTATGAACCTGCTAAATGATACTATCCCCCAGTTCTCATTTATCAACAACACTGTGTATTTGTTAAATGCAGAGTGATGAGGGGCTCAAGTGGTTTCAAGCCCGTGTTGTTCCTATATCCTTCAACTCCATTTCAACCCTGTTTTTTCAAATTTGAATTCTTCATCTTGCTATAGTTTTTTTTCTTTTTTTGACAGATCTCCTATTCTCCTGGTAGAAACTGGTTAGTGGTCATCAAACCTGATGATTATTCTTCCTGAGCACACTACATTTCCCAGCTTTCTTTTCAATCAGGGGTGGCCTAGTGACTACGTTCCAGCCAACGGAAGGACTGCAAAGGCCATGCATGCTACTTTCCAGGCCTGGCTCACAAGAGCATTGGCGACCCTCCATGGTCTTTTCCTTTTCACAGCCTGGAACCAGATGAGCATGGAGACCTGAGAAGCCATTTATTAAAGATGGCAGAGCCACAGATAGAAAGAACCTCAGTCCCTGAATCCATCCTTAGAGGGGAGCCACCCATCACTCAAGAACACCAATTTTGGACTTGAATGTGAAATAAATTTCTATTTAAACCATTATATCTGAATTTTAATTTTTGTTATGAAAGAGTATAATTTTAACCAATACACTTATTATTACTATTATATTACTACTACCAGAATATCACATCCTAATAACTGTTTTCTGGACCAACAAGCTATAATTCATGTAAAGTGGATGTGGGTAGTCTTTCACTATAGTCTCACCTACATTGGCCTAATAATGTCCATTTGACTGTTTTTGTTTTGTATTCTAGTAGCTTATTCTTTAAAAAAAAAATTTTTTTTAAATGTTTTATTTCTTTCTGAGAAAGAGACAGCGTGAGCAAGGGAGGGTCAGAGAGAGAGGGAGATACAGAATCTGAAACAGGCTCCAGGCTCTGAGCTGGCAGTCAGCACAGAGCCCGACGCGGGGCTCGAACCCACAAACCGTGAGATCATGACGCTTAACCAACTGAGCCACCCAGGCTCCCCATGGTAGCTCATTCTTAATGGAGAAGAGTAAAGCAAAATTGACATTACACTTGTTCTGCCTTTTAATAATGTGTAAAACAGAGCACATCTTCCTCAAAAAGAGAGCCTCACACTTCCTTCTTTTCTCTTTTAGTCTAGGACTTCCCTTTTCAACACAATGACCCTAGTTAGCTAGTTTCTTTAGTATTTCTAAAATTTCACCCCATGTTGGCCTTCATGACAGTCTTTTTACAGTTTTATGCTATCCTTTTACTTGGTAATATGTGCTTCCTTCTTTCATCTCTTCTACAAGCTCAGAGAACATCTTGTCAAGCCATGCTGCTTTCTCCCCATTATGCTGTCACATTAACATTTCTCATGCTTTGTTTGAAATTTTTTTTGGAAAGCTACCATCTCTCATGAAGGCCTTAGTTCTAGTCTTTGAAGTTAGACTATCATGTCTTACTTGTCTATTATCTGCCTCTCCCTACTATCGTTCACCAAGGTCAGGGACTCCCTTTACTGCTTAGAACATGGCCTGGCACATAGTAGGCACAAAGATAATCATATTTGTTGAATGAATGAAATCATGCCCATAGTTTCTCTAAATCTGATCCTAACCCACTTTTCTACAACCCGAGAATCAGATGCAATTAAGTCGAACTTACTTCTTCCCTTCATTATTAAGAATACCCATTACCAATACTTTTTCTCACAGCGTGGTTCTCAGCCTTGGGTCCACATTTTTTTAGAATTCTTACAGAGCATTTGAAAATCCCAATGCTCAAGGCATGCTCCACATCAACAAAATCCAAATTTCTCACAGGCAGGATATAGACATCATGGAGAATGCTCCCCAGGTGACTTCAGTGTACAGTCAGGGCTGAGAACCACTGCAGGACTCCTGTTGTTTTTGTCATATAGTCTTTTCTGTTAGGGAAAAATAAGTCCAGACATTAGTAAATGTTATGACACCATCATGTGAGGGATTGTTAGTAATACTGAACATATATTGATTGTTTACTATGCCAGGCGTCATACTAAGAGTTTTTTCATACATCATTTCCTTTAGATTTCACATCCACTCTGCGAAGGAGGTTAATGGACACCCCCCTCCTTTCCAAATAAGGTTATGGGATCAGAGAGGTTAAGGAGAGCAACACTGTCAATTTAGGGCAGTCAAGAGTCTCTCGGGTGTTTGCTTTTAGTTTACTGATCCTACAGCACAGGGGTTTTCAGTCATGGGCAGTTTTGCCTTCCAGGAGAGTTTTTAGATTAAAATATAGGATTTCCATTTAAATTTGAATTTCAGGAAAATGATGAATAATTTTTTTTAGTACAAGTCTGTACCAAATGTTTCATGGAACGTACTTACATTAAAAAGTTACATGCTATTTATCAGAAATTCAAATATACCTGGGCATCTTCAGTTATCATTTGCTAAATCTGCCAACTCTACCCCCAGGGAATATTTAGCAACGTCTGGAGATATTTTTGGTTGTCAAATTGAGGGTGCACTACTGGCATCTAGTAGGCTGAGGCCAACGATGCTGTTTAAGATCTTGTAATGCTCAAGACAGCTGCCACATCAGAGAACCATCCAGCTTCAAATGTCACTAGTGACCGGGCTGAGAAGCCCAGATCTAGTGAATGTTGGGAAAGATTAAGCACTCCCATAACAGCATAATGCCTCTGGCAACATTTATGGTCTGTCTTCAGAAAGCCTATTTCATCTGTATCTCACTATATTAGTATGTAATATTCTTTTGCATTTGCACTTTGGTAAGTTGAACATGGAGATACCATGCATCTACTGCTTCTGGTACCTCTTCATCTCATTACAGAGATATGGGGGAGGGGCAGGCTATTGCCACTTCCTGACATATCTTTCTGTGCTTTCTTTTTCAGCCTCACATTTTCACTCACAGCTTCCAAATATATGAGGTCCCAGTTAAGACACCCTACACTCTAAAGTCCTCCTTGTACCGATTTGACTTAGCTGCAATTAGCAAAGAGAAATCTGGGACTCACAGAAAGGTGTGAGAGAAGTCCATATGGCCAAGGGAGAAGAGAGCTGCGTGCAGAATGGCTTATTGCTAATGCAATGATGCTACTTTAGCTAGCAAATCTGTATGTTGTGAATGCCATTACCATGATGGCAAGTTTTTGATAACTTCTACAGTTGTACTATCTTGCAGATGTTCTCTCAAAACCTTAGCAAAGGAATACTGAAGTGAATTTATAAATGATTTATAAATGATTTTTATAAACCATGCATATTAGCTTGTCATGAATAAATCTAAGTAAACGTATGTTATATACATATTTTCTTGTTTGAGCTTGGAACATGTAAAAAGCATGTTGGGTATTCTTTCAAGCATTAGGATCAAATATATAGGGTGTATTTGGTACAAAGAGTTTTTAAGTATTTCTTTGGCAATTTGAGAATCGTGGGCCAGAATTTGAATTTCAAAAGATTTTTCTCAGATGTAACTTTAATATACTCACTTTAGAGTATTTCTAAAAACTAATTTGCAAGGTAACAGATGTCAGTTTTATGCCACCAAAGGTTGGAGCTTATATAGCAAAGTAAAGATCACTTGCTATTCAGGCTTTTAAAAATACATACTTATTTCTATTGTTTTTAAATTGAGGATTACTGTGCTTGAAAGTCATCACACGCTCACTACTTATCGCTCCAAAAAGAAGAGACCATGGATTATGGATTACATAAAAGAAGAATCCTATCCAGAGGTACACATAAGGTACCAATAAGGAGTATCTGCATCAGCGAGGGGATAAAAGACAATTACTACACAAATCTAATATACAGTTATTTGAAATACACACACACACACACCTGCAGTGCATGTGCATATTGTTGATCCTTAAGAAATATGAATTCTTTGTACTCCAAAATTTTTAACAATTTAAACTTAAAATTTAAACAATATTGATTGTTTATAAGATATATATGTGTTAAGTATGCATATCTTGCCTGTGTATGTTAATGGTATAATGAGAGAAAGAAAAAGAAACAAGGAAGAACACTGCATTTGTAAATATAATGCTTTCTCTCTGATTTTCCAAAGATAAACCGAAGTAGGACACTCAAGATCTTGGAGTCCCTGGCAGTAGCAAATGGCAGGGAGGTTATAAGATTTTCTATACCTGCTCCCAAAGGGCTCTGTGACTACTTCAATTATATGTGTCTTACCACACTAATTATTTGTTTATATGTCTGTTTATTTGTTTCTCTGCCTCTGAAGCTATTAGTACACCTGTGTACATTCATATGACTTTACTACACTACTGTCTTCTAGTGCATTCCCGAAACTTCCTGAATGAGACATCAAGTTTCAATAGAGCATGAGGCAACAGTTCACATACTAGAATTCTCTGAACCCCTCTTATCTTATTCTACCAATTCTAAACCATCACATCATAAACTACCATATATATCATGAGCATTAACCAATCTTAACCAAGTTGTTACACAGAAAGAGCTGCCTTAAACTTGAAAATCTCAAGTATACCAACAATTTATGCCCACACTCCCAGGCACTGTTTAGGTGGTATTCTGCTTACCTCAGTACTAACTCAGCTTTGTCTTACCAAAAGGTGATTTCAGTGATATTTGCGGGGGGGCGGCTTTTAACATTTCCTCTAGATCATGAATTCCTAATAGGCTGGGCCTGTGTCTCATTAATCGTATCTACAGTTTTCTACACAGTTCCTCTGAGAAGGTGGTTCTCAAAGAGACTTTAGACCAGCAGCATCAGCATCATCTGGGATCTTTTAAGAAGTGCAAATTCTCAAGCTTAACCTTAGCTCCACTGAACAGAAGGGTGGGTGGAACCCAGCAATCTATGTTAGTCAGCTCTCTGGTTAATTCTGATGTACTGTCAAGTTTAAGAACTACTGTAGATCACAACCCATAATCAGTTACAAGAATATTACAGAAAAAATGTAATGAATGTGTCAAGGAAGGTATAGTAATTCCTAGTTAAAGTAGATAAAGTACAACATGGGCTCTGGAGGAAGTGAAAATTTATCAGAGACTTGAAGGATTAGAAGAATTTGGGAGTAAGTAGTTAACTAAGGCTGAATAAAGTAGGATTTAAGGGTGTAGGACTGGATAACAAAACCAGTGAAAAGAGGCTGAAGCTAAAATGTGAATGTCCACCTAATGAGTTTGGACTTCTTTCTGTTGATAGTAGGGAGTCACTGATAATATGGTGCCCTTAAGGACAGAGTACTATATGAGATTTAAAAAAAAAAAAAAGCCCACAATACTGTGCTTTAGTGGAAAACTATTCAGTGTCTAGAGTAAACTCAGCTAGATTATCTGATTTTGACTCTATAGAAGCTAATTTATGACTCTATAAATTGTAAAAACTGATAGCAATCCAAAATAATTTCTGTATATAAACAAAGACATTCTTGTCTATGTGAATTCTGTCCAGTAGACTGAATTGGCTTTCTTCACCAGCAGTGGAAGAATGTGCCTCCATCTGCATATTTATTTCAATAATCCTGACCTATTAATATGTCTATACGGATTCTCATTTGTACAGTTGTAACAT